CAGAGACCTTCTCCCCCCGTAACCGCCCAAACCTGACTGGCAGCCAGGAGCTCCTGAACACCCGTCTGGTGGTGTCGTCGATGAACTGGCGCTTCCTGCTGTTCAGAGGAAGGAGGCAGAGCCCGGTGGACGGCTCTGTGATGCACTTCTCCTTCAGCTGCAGGTAGGTGAGGTTCTCATGGGTGTTGGGGTCGAAGAAGCCCTTGGTGTCGTCACTGGGATCAGAAAGGATTAAGTTCATCTTCTTGTCAAAGTAGCCGCGCTTGTAGGCCACCTCCACCGGGATGCGGTGGCTGTTGACGGGGTCGATGATGCCGCCAGTGGCAATCTGGGCCTCGAGGAGGCGGATGCCGTGATCCTTGACGATGAGCTCCTTCTTCATGGCCTGGAAGAGGGAGATCTTGTTCCCTGAGTAGGGATCTCTGTAGCCAGTGACTGATTTCTCTGCAGTCAATAGCTTGTCATAAACATCTGGGCCAATGACGTTTGCTCTTAACGCCTCATCCACAGAATACCTTTTGTTGGCAGCTGGGTCAATGATAAATCCAGTAGCAGCCTGTGCCTCCAGGAGGATCAGTGATGTTCCTGGCCTTAAAAGTCCTTTCCGCTTTCCCTGGTAGATACTGATCTTCTCCTGGGAGTCAGGAAGCAGGAGCCCAGCAATGCTACCTGTACCTTGCAGGTACTTCTTGACAGTGTCCATGCTGACAACTTCTTTGGCTGATGTTTCTCCCTCCTTCAGTTTCTTAAACAAATCTTTGTTGATGATTTCAGAGCTCAGGAGCTGGTCCGCTGTCACCCGGTGCCTCAGTCCTTCAAAGGTGACATTAGCAGCGGAAGCCATTTCCTCAACGGTGGCCTTGACTGCCTTACCCAATTCTTGCATAGAGAGTGTTCCTGTAAGGTACTGCTGGGTGAGAGCAGCTCTTTGCTCACTCTGGATGTAGTCTGAGAATAGGAGTTTCCAGAGAGACACCGACTTTCCCTTGAATTTGCCTAAAGCAATGGGTACCTGTGTGTTTTCCAGAGCTGATTGGGTCCTATGGTCAAAGAAGAGGTGGGTTCCCTCAGCTCCTTCTCTGCCTTCTCCACCAAGTGGCAGCAGAATGAGCCCCGTGTTGGGATCAGTGACACAGCACTTGAGCAGGTCTGCATAGGTCATCTTCTCCTTGGAGCTGGGGTCGAAGAACCCTTTCATGTCATCAGTAGGACTGGAGAGGAGCTGTCTTGTGGCTTCATCCAGGTACCCCCACTTGCAAGCTGTCTCTGTGGGGACACGGAGGTGCCTGCCTGGAGCGATTATACCCCCTGTGGCCATCTGAGCCTCCAGAAGGCAAATGCCATGATCCCTGGGGATAAAGCCCTTCCTGATGGCTTGGAACAGAGAGAGCATTTCTCCAGTGTAGGGGTCCTTGTACCCAGTGATGGTCTTCTCAGCTGAGGAGAGTTTCTCATGAAGCTCTGGGCCAATGAGACCGACCCTGACAGCCTCATCAACTGAGTAGCTTTTGTTCTTTATGGGGTCTGTCAGGGTGCCGGTGGAGGCCTGGACTTGCAGGAGCACCAGAGCAGCACCAGGCATGAGGAGATGCTCTCTCAGTGCCTGGTAAAGGCTTTTCCGCTCGCTGGAAGGCAGGACAACACCTGCCACGCTCCTTGTCCCATGCAGGAACTGCTGAACGGAGTCATTCTCTGCCACCTCCTGGGCAGAAATTCTTCCCTCCTCAAGACCTCTGAAGGTATCAGGGCTGATGATGCCGGAGTCCAGCAGATCTCTGCTGCTCACCCTCCCTGCCAGCCCTGGGAACGTGATTTGCAGGGGCAAGAGGAGGAAGCCTGAGGCCGGATCAACAACACAACTCTTCATGAGCTCCACGTAAGCGACCCTCTCCATAGTACTGGGGTTGAGGAACCCTTTGTTGTCCTCATTGCTGGGGTCAGAGAGGAGCTGGGTCATCTCTTCATCCAAATATCCCTTCTCACAGGCAACATCTGCTGGGAGCCGGCAGCCAGTGGCTGGGTCAATGATGCCCCCGGTTGCAATCTGGGCCTCGAGCAGTCGAGTCCCTTGCTCCTGCCCGATCAGGTCCTTCTGGATGGCCTGGTAGAGGGAGATTTTCTCTTCTGTGTAGGGGTCCACAAAGCCAGTAGCAGCTTTCTCTGCAGAGAGCAGCCTCTCCTTCAGTTCCAGCCCCACCAGCCCCATCTGCAGGGCTTCTGCTACGGAGACGTGCCTGTTCTTCACCGGGTCAGCGATGAAGCCCGTGGCTGCCTGGGCCTCAAGAAGACAAAGTGCCGAATCCAAACTCAGAAGATGCTCTCTGGTGGCATCATAAAAGCTCATTATCTTCTTCGAAGCTTCTACATACACTCCAGCAATGCTGCCAGCTGCCTCCAAGGGCTCGCTAGAAGCATCCATCACCGTCACATCCCCATCAGCTGCTTTTTTCTGTTTGCGAGGCAACATGTCCTGGCACAAGTGGTTTGCTCCTGGCATGTCTTCCTGGTGAGGGAGGGGGGCAGCATGGCCATTCACTGCTGGCTTGCTCTCCATCCTCCCGCTGGACATCCTTTCACAGCTGATGAGACTCTCTGGGGAGAGGGCAGAGAATGGGAAAACTCAGTGAGAAGTCAACTTTTCTGTGGTGTCCTGGTTTGAGTGACACAGGACTCGTTTATCTTTCAGTAATTTTAGTTTTCAGTAAGGTCTCTTCTAATGCCTGGGAAAACTGCACTTTTAGAACACTCTAGTGTCTGAATTGGTGAAAATATTCACTTTGCAGCCAGCTGTGGTGTGTGGGTTTCAAGGTCTCAGTGTTTTTAAGCTCTCCAGGTTGGAGGTATGAGGAGGAGCGAGACCCGGGCACTCGACCCAAGCTGGCCAACAGGGTTAGTTCATACCATCAATGGCACATTCGCTAGAAATCAACAAGTTTGCTGTGAAGTTCTTTTTTTTTTTCTATGATGGCTACGATCCTGAGAACTCCTTGCCCCAGTGCCGGAGCAAGGATAGAACAGTGCCGGTGCCGGACAGAATGGGCTGAGGACAATCCTTGGGTATTTTATATTGGTATTGGGAGAAATACTGCTTCTTTAGTGTTATTAACGTTAATTATCTAGTCTTATTCTGTTAAAGTTGTTTATGTTTCAGCCCTTGGGTTTCCTTGTTTTAGTCCAATTCCCCCTCCCGGGTGGAGAGGGGTCATTGGGTGATGGAATAATTGTCTAAACAACAAATTGTTGTGGGTTTCTCCCATTGCCAGGGCAAGGAGTTTGCTGGACCATCTCGCCATCATAGAGGAGAGAACTTCTCAGCAAACTTTCTAACTTCTATGGAATGTGCCATTGACGGTATGAAATGATCCTGTTGGCCAGCTTGGGTCAAGTGCCCGGGTCTCGCTCCTCATCATCCCCACACCTGGAGATGCGGGATGAGGAGGAGGCTGTGGGGCAGAGGAGAGAAGGGTCTGGCCCTGTGACGCAGTGGCGAGTGGAGGTGGCTTGTGAGTCCCATCCCCAGCGCAGAGCTGCTGGCACCAGTGCAGAGTGCGGAGTGCCAGGGCTGGACTGGCCCAATGGAGGCAGGTGAGGCCACGGGACCGAGCATGAAACGCTGCAGCAGGACGAGGAGCCCGCTTGCCTGAGCTCCTGCAGCTGAGCTGGCTGGGTCTTAGAATCATAGAATCACAGAATGGTTTGGGTTGAAGGGCCCTTTAAAGTCCATCGAGTCCACCCCCTGCCCTGGGCAGGGACACCTCCCACCAGCCCAGGTTGCTCAGAGCCCCGTCCAACCTGGCCTTGAACACCTCCAGGGATGGGGCAGCCACAGCTTCTCGGGGCAACCTGCCCCAGGGGCTCACCACCCGCACAGGGAAACATTTCTTCCTCATATCTCATCTGAGTCTCCTCTCTGTCAGTGTCAAAGCGTTCCCCCTGGTCTCACGGCTGCCCTCCCTGATGCAGAGTCCCTCCCCAGCTCTCCTGGAGCCCCTTTAGGCACTGGAAGGGGCTCTGAGGTCTCCCCGGAGCCTTCTCTTCTCCAGGCTGAACCCCCCAACTCTCCCAGCCTGTCCTCCCAGCAGAGGGGCTCCAGCCAACTCCTCGTGGTGCTGCCAGCCAGCATAGAACCAGAGAATCACAGAATAACAGAATCGTGGAATGGTCAGAATTAGAAGGGACCTTGAAAGGCCATCGAGTCCCCCCCCCGCCCTGGGCAGGGCCACCTCCCACCAGCCCAGGTTGCTCAGAGCCCCGTCCAACCTGGCCTTGAACACCTCCAGGGATGGGATCTCTGGACCTGGCTGCAAGGCCACAACCGGAGCAGGGCTACCCCATGGCACGCACGGCTGTTCATGGCAGCGGAGGAGAAGGCCGGTGGCACAGTAGCCCCAGGGTAGCTAGCGCCACACTGACCCTCCCACGGCGGGTGGGACTGGTGGGGGGG